GAAGACAGCGTTACCCAATACCTACAATATTATTGTATTATTACACATTTAAATTAACTAAAATATGGTATTAAGAGCCCTCTAGTGGCAAAATTCTTAATAGACCCATGAGAAAGGAAAGATAATTTGGACCATCTTCTAAATCTCAGAGTATTTTTTAAACTAACAAAGTATTAGATACTGGTTCTTTATGATATTACATATCAAGCACAACTCGGGTATTTTTTGCCATAAACTCCTACTAATACTTGCCTTGCAATCAGCCTCCAAATTCATTAAAAAGATCTGAGAAATGTAATATTTAAATATGCCAACATAAAATTATAAAGGTAAGATGTTTAACCTAAAAAAAAGTTGTAAAAGTAGAGAAATCTCTTCCTCTAAAACCAAAACATAGTAAGTCTGCCTACTGATCTTTCAGGTAGTCCCCTAATTTACACTCACAGAAACACATGAACGCACACACATAAAGTTAAATTTCATGAATTGATATGCCAGCTTTTAAAATTTAGAATACATTTTGCCACACAAAGAAAACAGAGTTATGAAAGATATTTAGGATTATGATAGACCCTATATTGCTGTGATTATAAAGGAATCCAAACCTAACCACCATTCATAGATATTGCTTTAAATTCACCGAGTTCAACATGGACTGCAAGGAGCACACTTTAGCTGAGGCTACTATGCCAGGTCACTACAGGGCACAGAACTGCTGAGGAGAGAGGGTCCCAAGAATCTCTCGTGACAAGCTTGTAGATGCCCTAAACATAGCAGGAATGGTTCCCAGGACACCCAACTGTAACTGAAAGGGTCTTCAGTGTCTCCAAAACAGAGTAATGTTAATCCAGGTAGTGGTTGAATTTCTTGATATGGTTGAATGTTCTTTTTTGTTGTTGATTTATGATAATTTTTTCCTTTTTAAAAACTATTTTAATTTTTCAATTATTGTTGACATTGAGTGACAGGCTGTTCTTATGTAAGTTGTTCACAACAAATCAGACTCAGGTCAGGGCCTACTTTTACTCACTTACCCATCCTTTCACTCTCTTATCCCTTTATTCATTTAATAAACATTTATTGAGCCCCTGCCACATACAGGCCCTGTGCTTACTATAAATATGAAGTCTATCAAGATATTCTTGCCCTCGAGATCATAATTTAGTGTTTAAGGTAAGAAAAAATTAAACAGAATGATATGAGCATAGTAGAGAAATACCTGGTTTAGTCTGAAGATAAGGGGAGAATTTTGTGGATGTAAAATTTAAGTCTTGAGCCCTGGCTGGTGTGGCTCAGTTGGTTGAGCATTGTCCTGTACACCGAGAGGTTGCAGGTTTGATTCCCCATCTGGGCACATGCCAGGGTTGTGGGCTCCATCCCTGGTAGGAGGCAGCGTTCAGGAGGCAGCCAATCGATGTTTCTCTTTCTCTCTCCCTCTCTTGTCCTCTTTCTCTCTCTCTCTCTCTCTCTCTCTCTAAAAATCAACAGAAACATATTTTTTAAGAAGTTAAGTCTGGAAAGATGAGAAGAAGTTAGGGTGAATAAGGAGGACCAGAGGAAGGGAATTTCACAATGACAGAATAGCAAGTGGAGCTTCATAGAGGCCTAACATGAACCTTCCCCTGTTAAAACCAAAAAGGAAAATACATTGCTTTATTTTCTATTAGGAAAGTAATGTGTATTCAGAAATCATTTGCTGAAAATTAAAATAATGCAGAAGTATAAAAAGAATTTTTAAAATCGCAGATAAAATACCACCATCCTACCTTTCTCACATTCCCTTCCCCACTACCAAGACAGCCACTGTTTGGTGACTAGGCATTCAGATTTTTTTCTATGCATTCACAAGTAAGTATTTTTCCCCTCACAAAAGCAGAATCCTATTGCAAATACAGTTTTATAACTTTTAGAAACAATATCTTAAAAATACATCTTAGGTATCTTTCTCTATAAAATATATAGGTTCTGATAAGGGGTTAATATCCAAAACACATAAAGAATCATATAGCTCAGTAGCAAAAAAACCCCAAAACAATCTGATTTTAAAAAACGGGCAAAGGGTCTGAACAGACATTTTTCCAGAGAAGATATACAGATGGGAAACAGGCACATGAAATGGTGTTCAACATCACTAATCATCCAGGAAATGCAACCCAAAACCGCAGTGAGACATCACCTCACCTGTTAGAATGACTATTATCAAAAATACAAGAAATAACAAGTGGTGGAGAAAAGGGAACCTCTGTGCACCGGTAGTAGGGATGTACGTTAGTGCGGACACAATGAAAACAGTGAAGTTTCCCCTCCAAAGTTACATATAAAACTACCATATGATCTAGCAATTCCACTTTGGGGTATTTATTTGAAAGAAAAGAAACATGAACTCAAAGAGCTATCTGCACCTCCATGCTTACTCCAGTATTATTTACAATAGCCAAGACATGGGAGCAGCCTAAGAGTCCATTCACAGATGAATGGATAAAAGCTCACAGGTTAAGAGTATACGCAACGACTCTCTACCGTAAGAGATGATAGGCCTTGAGAAAAATATGTAACTGCACTGTTTGGAATTATAATAAATTCACATGCACATTTTTTAATATAAAAGAATTTTTAAAAATAACAGAACTATAATAAATCATCACTGCATGAGGTTGCTTTAACTGAGATATATGTGCATATAGTATCTCAGTTAAAAAACTGTTTTAGCCATGTAAATTCAATCTCTCAAATTATGTATTTTCAAATATATGTATGTATTTTCTATTATTCCCCAATTTAAAAAGAAATAATGTAAAATACTAATTATAATCAAGGAACTTCAGGGGAGACGTTATCCAATATTTTTATCAGATAAAGACCAAACATTTTTAGATATTATTTTCATACAATGATTTTGATACCTTTTAATTCATTCTTTGTTTTCATGAATTGCCAATCACAAATCCTGCCAAATTGGAAGTTAATGGGTTGGGGGGGGAGTTACTGCATAGTTAAAAAATATTAAGTCCAGGGCCCATTTACTCATCCCCTCCCCCACCCCCATTTAGAAATCAGTATGCACTTCCACTGACATCTTATCAGCTAAAGCAAACCACATAATCACACTTAACTTAAAGAGGGGGAGGAGTGTAATTGCCCCAAATGTCCAGGAAAAAGAAGAGAACTGGAAGTACTGATGCTAATAAAGCCAGCATGCTACCTGAGAGGTAAACTAAACTTTTATTTTAAAAGCTATTGAATTGCTAAAAAAAAAACATTTTTAAGTGACAAAGCTTTGAAGAAGAACAAATCCCTTACTTCCCACCTCTCTAAAATATCAGTTATATCCATGTTTCTGGGTTCTCCTCTCCTCATGCCTTTCTAATTTTCACAAGGTTGCAATCATTCTCTAAATGCTATTCTTTGTACTATCATGTTATGTCCATTTTCTATATACTATAGAATCTTTATAATTTTTTATTCTGATGTAATATTTAAAATGGAATTTTCAATTAACTATGTTCTTAGAATATCTAATGATTCCTATTCTGATTTGAAATTTGTATTTACTCTAATGCTTAATGCTTACCTGTGTTTAAAGAAAATAAATCATGATCCAGGAGATGGAGGTTCGATTCCCGGTCAGGGCACATGCCCAGGTTGCAGGCTCAATCCCTGTGAGGGGCATTCAGCGGGGAGCCAATCACTGACTTTCTCTTTTTTTAAATATATCTTTATTGATTTCAGAGAAAGGAGAGGGAGAGAGAGAGATAGAAACATCAATGATGAGAGAGTCATTGATCGGCTGCCTCCTGCACGCCCCCGACTGGGGATCGAGCCCACAACTCGGGCATGTGCCCTGACCAGGAATCAAACTCCGATCACCTGGATCCTAGGTGGATGCTCAACCGCTGAGCCACGGCCGGCTGGGCACTGACTTTCTCATCATTGATATTTCTCTCTCTCTCCCTTCCTCTCTCTGAAATCAATAAAGGTGTATTTTTTAAAAAGAAAGAAGAAAATAAAAGAAACCAATAAACAAATACACTTCATGTCTTATGCACTTCTAGGAAATCCAGCTATTTTTGGTCTTTCCTAAAATGCAAATTGTTTATGGCCAGGCAAAAAGGCTGTTTAATCCTGAGAACCTATTACTAAATTCTAAAGACACAACTTATTCTAACATAATAAGTAAGTAGCTTAAAGATCCTAGAAATAGAAAAAAGAGCAGAAACCTAAAGAAATATTACTCAATATGTTATTATATCTAAAGGTGTCAAGTTTTAAGAGAGGAGTACAATAGTTTAAAAAAACCTAATTTTTACTTTATAAAATTCCTTCTTACAAATCAAAGGCTGAGGCCCAGCTGGTGTGGCTCAGTGGTTGAGGATCAACCTATGACTGATCCAGGAAATCAAGTTTTGATTCCTGGTCAGGGCACATGCCCAGGTTGCAGGCTTGATCCCCAGTAGGGGGTGTGCAGGAGGCAGCTGATCAATGACCCTCATCACTGATGTTTCTACCTCTCTCTCCCTCTCCCTTCCTCTCTCTGAAATCAATAAAGACATAAATAAATAAAAAATCAAAAGCTGAGGAAGTAACAGTAATGGAAGATAGCCCCTCAGTTTGTGGAATTATTTACTGCAATGTCCCATTTAATGTCCAGTTCGCTATGTGAGTTTGAAATATAACAAATACACAAAAAGTGAGTTTGAAATACAATAAACACGCAAAAATTAAATGGCTTCAAAGCTTTTCAGGAGTGTTCCTAAAATAAAAATGAGCAATTCCAATGCTGAACTTTAGAATGTTGAAGCAACAGGCTCAATTATGAATAGTGACTAGTAATAGAAAGCAAGGAAAAAAAATACACATTCAAAATTAGGTCATGGGCAAGAAAGTAGCTTTCAGACAGTTTCTAGTTGTTTGGGGGGGGTGAGAATCTTGAGAATGCTTCAGGGGAATCTAATAACACTTGTTACATAAAGAAAAAATGTATATATTTAAATGTGTCTTACCACTTTTACTACAATATCAACTTGTTCTTCAACCTTTATTTCTTCCTCCTGAACTGTGCTAGACTCATTTTCTGGTTGTTTATACTCTTCTTGGATCTCTTTGCTGACTGCTGCTTCTACATTCTTCACTTCATCTTGGACAGAGGGAGATACCAAGGGAATATGTACTTGTGATAGTGTTGGAACAGGGGGCAGTGGCGAGACATGATCATAGTGAGTATGTAGGAGCCGTAGAGCAATGTCACTTGTGGCTAATATCCTTGGAATTTCAAATCCAACTTGTATTTCAGAGCATCTGATACTTCTGTGCCTGTTGATAATTGATTTTTACAAACAAGGATGAGGCCAAGGAAACACTAGAACTGTTGCGAATTTATACCTAAGCAGTATTCTCTCCACTTTAATTTCAACATAGTTTTGAATCCCATCCCTTACTTGCTTTCTTTGCAGGATTTTGACCCAGTTGCTAATGTTATCGTTCTCAAAACTCACTCTTGGGATCCGTAACCCAATACTCTGCTCCATCACTGGCAGCTCCTTCTCTGTTTCCTCTGTATGGCCTTCTTCCTAACTGTCCCTTAAATGTTGACATAACTCAGCTCTCCATCCCAGGCCCCTTTCCTCTCCATCTGCATAAGTTCCTTGGAAATTATTTCTATGGCTTTGATTATTAAAGTTCGTAAGAGTCTATGATTCCCCAAGAGTTAAGAACTATTGAATTATTTAATGACTTCCAAAAATATATCTCACTCAGATTTCTCTTAAGTCCTTCAGACAGTTGCACTTTGATATTTCATAGGTACTTCAAAACAACAAGTCCATCCCTAAAACCTCCCTCACGATCACCATAAAAATAAAACAGAATTTTTTCTGCCTCCACTACTCATTATCTTAGTAAATGGACCACCTAATTATCTTCTTAGACCTGGGTAGTTAATGCAGGGCTATTCATTCTCCTTTTATTCTTTTAAAATCACACAGATATTCATTCCCTTCACTCTTCTGTATATAACATATCTCATAATAAAAAGATTAAACTACTACATTGTCTCTAATTTAGATTTAAAACAGAGCATTTTGTAGCAAATGCAATGTAGAAAATACTTTACTCCTTCCTTTTACCAAATATCAAAAATAAAGGTCCAGTTTCTTCCATTGTAATATGACTAGTCTTTTCAGAGCTGAGACCAGAGCCTACTCACTTTATTCCAGGAATTTTTTCTTAAAACTTACGGCCATACTAACATAATTAATTTGAAATATTTGAGATCAAGCAGTAACCAAGTGATCATGAATTTATCATTACCACTATCATTGCTTAGAAAGCTGTTACTTTGTTAAAAGTAATTATATCATTTAAGTATCTAAAAAAAAATAAATATGCAAGTGTTATTTTTTGGAAAGTATTATTTTTAACAGTTCACAAAGATACTTTTTTTTTTTTAAGTTTGAGATCGCCATGTAAAAAGCACCTACCACTTCTACTTTTGAGGGAAAGGAAGGTTAAGTGGTGAAGAGAAAGGAAAGACCTGAAATTTATTTAGCCTATGTTTGCACTAGACACCATGCCATGACCTTTATATGCATTAATATTTATTCCTCAACCCAGTCCTATTAAGTAATATATTCATCACTGTGCGGTTGATATACTGAAGCTCAGCAAGGCTATGCAACTTGCCTAGGATAAATGGCAGGTCTATGATTCAAAACCCCATTCGTCTGACTTCTTAACATGGGTTTTTCCAAGGATGCCACGCTGTGATTCAACAGGCCTGTGCCTGGCCACCATGACATGACTCTAATGTCTTTCAACCTACAGTATCACCCACCGGAATACCTTGGATTCTTCTTGAGGTTTGCCCACACATATAGGATAACATTTTCATCTTGAATGACTTTTTCCATATTTCCAGTGTCCAGATCTGCTAAAGTACTAGCTTGCTATAAGAGAAAAAGAAAACATTATAAAAGATCAGAGGTCTCATAAATTACACAACTTAGATAACGTTATTTCATCACTTAGGTGTTGGATTCCCTTCATTACTTAAAAAGAGTTATTTGGGTAAAAATAAGGTTCAGTCAAAATGACAAAGAATTGCTTAAAAATTCTCAAAATGATACAAACATATTTACTTAATTAAATGTGCTTCTCCTTTTCCACTCAGCTTCTCTTAAGGTGTCTAAGGATTAAAGTTACTCCTATATGCCCAGGTAGCACGTGTAGATTACTATTATGTTACCCTTTTGCATTTTAACACTATCGTGACTTTTCATTTTAACTATACATATGCTACTTTATCTGTACCTTATTAAAACGTAGATTATGTTACTGCAAGTTTGCCTGTTTCTGAACATATCAAGGTTAGAAAAGAAAATATTCAGTTTATAAAATCCAGATGAGTTGTATATTTTACTAGTCCAATACTTGGTATCCAACATTAAACATACAATTTAAGATTACTCTTAATTTTTTTTTAATAAAGACTAACATAGCTTGATTCCTATTGCTCAAGAAATTATCTCTCTCAAGGGGCTTAAATAAGTTAATATGTATTTGGTCGCTATAATGTAAAAACTTAAAAGTATTGGGGATTAATTTATTGCTTTTTTTAAAAAAGTGGCCATCCCTGCCCCTACTTGCTTTTTCTTACAATATAAATCAGTTGCAAAATTATAATATGAATATTATTGCTAACAATAATGTTGGTAAAGTTTAAGCCTTCTTTTCAGTTCTTAGTAATTTGAACATATTTTATCAAGGCTAAACCAAGGCTAGGACTGTTTTCTAGGCCAAAAGAAAATAAGAGACAAAATAGCCAAAAGCAATATGTGACCTTAGATTATTTTCTGATTAAAAAAAGTGAGAAAAAAACAGCTATAGAAGATATTCATGGGATATTAGGGAAATTTTAACTATGGACTGGATATTAGAATATATTATAGAATTTTTATTAATTTTTTATGTATAATAATGGTTTTATGGTTATTTGGATATTATCATTAGTGCTAAGATATTCAGAAAAATAGAGTGACTACAATAATTTTAATGCTGTATCAACTGATTTATCTAGAGCACATATCTAATACATGTTTTATGAATTTATTTTCATAGTGATCCTGGTAAAACTTAGCAAGTATAACAAAGAAAACTAGATTTTGGCTATACTGATGCTTTATTTCTTCAAAAATAAAATGTTTATTAAATATTTTCAATATGGATAAATATATATGCCTTAAATTATTCCACTGATTTTTTCATAACCTTTTAATTCTTAGGGGGAAAAAAAGAAACTGGATTTTTTTATTATATAGCATAAAATTTTAACCCTTATAAAAGTTAATCATAACATATAAGCAAGACGCCCACTTACTCTGAGGAGTAGTTCTGTGGCTGTGTTAAACTTAAGATGAAGGAGCTCCTGAAGTTCCAGAATTGACCCTTGGTACTGCACTATATTTTTATCTTGCAAATCATATGGCGGAGTTTCCAATAAAATTATTTTCAATTTATCAATTAACTATAAAGCAAAAGGATAAAGATATAAAGTAAAAACTGACTACAAAAGTAAATCAGTCTGACAAATAGTCAAAAGGGTAAAAGGGGGATGTTCTACCATTTTTTAATCAAAGAAAGCATCTTATTGTCAGTAAAATAAGTACAGAAAAGAATTTTTATATTATTTAAGAGCACGGAAAAATAGAATATTTCCCCCCAAAACTCCATTATAAGGATTCTCAACCACGTGTAACAGAGCTTCCATTACTTAGGACAGTGGAACAGGAAGCACAACAACATAACAGGGAGAAGGAGAGGAAGGTTACTAACATTTACTGAGTGCTTACGATGTGCTCTGAAGAGACAGAGCAGCATTAGAACCAGGCGCGGCAGGGTTGTTGCAATCATCAGACCGGGAATTTAAAACAACTGTGATTAATATAATACGCCAAGGGCTCTGTGGATAAAGTAGACAGCATGCAAGAACAGGTGGATAATGTAAGCAGAGATGGAAATCCTACGAAAGAACCAAAGAGAAATCCTGGAGATCAAAACACTGTGACGCAGTGAAGAATGCCTCCGGTGGGCTCCTTCCTAGACTGAACTCAGCCGAGGGAAGAATCTCTGGGCTGGGACGGCAGCAAGATGGCGCGTAGGTCACAGCTGCGCCCGCCGCCTCCCGCAACCACGTCAACGTTACAACTAAAATACAGAACCACCGGCACTCAGAGCCTCCTGAGATCTGGATGAACAGAAGCCCCACAACCAGGGACCTGAGGAAGCACCGAGAGCAGTAGGATGAGCGGAGACACGGGCAGATGGGGGCTGAATCCCGGAGACGCGGCCGCGGGCCCACACCTGGTGCTGCCNGGATGGGCTGAATCACGGAGATGCGGCTGCGGGCCCCCACCCGGTGCTGCAGAGTAAACCCGGGAGGGAATCTCGGTGGTGGAGGTTTCCCGGAGGAGTGAAGGGTCCCAGCCCCACAGCAGGACCCCTGCCCAGGGCTCCAGGGCTGGGAAGAGACGTCCCCACAACTTCAGGCTGTGAACCAGCGGAGACTGTCCCTGAGGGTCGCGGAGGCTGCGGGAGCCCCAGCAGCTCCTCCTAAAGGGCCCGGCACGGACTCACTCGCACGCTCCCTCCGAGCCCAGCGCCGGGCAGCAGCCTGAAAGGACCCGGGACACTCGGGGAG